GGTAATTAAATATTTTGTCAGACTTGTGTAAAATTGATTTGGAATGGTAATGGAAGTTCTATTGTCTCTTGTTCACAACTTTTTTCTCTTTGAAATTCCCTTTCTGTAGGCATTGTGGAGAGGATATTCTTGGAGAAAGAGTAATGACACAGCAAAAACTAAAGCTTTAAGACGTAGTTTAGAAAAGGCTAATGAAGAGAGCAGAGAAGAGAACAAATTGTGCAACAGAACTGCAATTGCTATTGAATACCTTCTAAAATACAAACATCTATCTTATATTCTTGCAGCATTAAAGCATCTTGGTCAGTATTTCGTTTTATTACAACTGATAGATTACCAGGATGATCAAAATGGAATTTCTCAGCTGAGTAGAGTTCATAATGATATTTATGCTTTCTGTATGACTTTAAAATGTGAACGTGTTAGTGTAATGGAGGGTTTTTTCCAGACTAAAAATAGGTTATTGATTTAAGAACAATATTAAAATGGTTATGTAGAGAAAGGAAATTCTGTATGATTTCTCTAATTTCCTTGGCAGTCCTAGTAATACTATGCCTTACATAAGTCAATTATATTTACTATCACTGTATGTTCTCCATGGATTGTTTCATATGCTTAGGTTTTAGTTTGGAATATTAAAACTATTGATTTAGAAATACTTGTTTAAATCAATAATTGCTGGTTTTACTACTTTACAGTTCTACTTAAAAATAAGACAAAACCTTGGTTTGCGATTAAATTGCTTGACCTTCAGAGTTGGTTTTGTTTTGGTTTTAATTATCATAGAGGTGGCTACCAGGCTGTCCTCACTCTGTTGTGAAAATATGGCCCAGAGCAGAGCAATCTCCACTATTTTTGTTCTGATCCGAAGTTGCAACCGGAGTGTTCCATGCATGGATGTGATCAGATATTCAATTCAGGTTCTACTTAATGTTTCAAAGGTAACTTTAATATTTTCTTTTGCAAGTTTATAAGCTGTAGACTACTTTATTGTAGTATTTATTTATCTACAGAATTTCTGAATAAATTTGAAACAACAAAAGTAATAGTTTTGAATAAGAATCAGTTTCTGAATTTTAACTATGTTATTTTGAAACCAATTATCTCCTTAGTAATAATTGTGATTTAATTTTCGTTTTAGCAAAAGAAAATGATTTCATGGGCTTAAAGTAATCATTTTACTTTTAACTGATTACATTGCAAGGTATCCCAAGTATTGCATGAAACTGTGTAGAAATGCAAAACTGTAGAAGTAATGATAAGCTATGAAGCTTTTTAAAGGTAGAAATAAGGTATATGTTCCTGAAGATAGCCTACTTTGCCAAATTCACGTCAGTACTGTAGTTACTGACTATGGATTGATTGTTCTAGAGTTTTTTACTTCGAAATTTGAAATATTTGCTAAACATAGTTTTTGATCTGATATCCATCCTACTGGCATTTACATTCACATTCTTTTATTTTTATTTCAGGAAAAAAAATTAACGTTTAAGCTAAACTTACTTTTAAATTTCCCTAAACTTATTCTAATTTATTCTTCTATTTTAAACATAAAATGAGATTCTACAGGTTTCTAAGAAAAAGGAGAAGCACAAAGGGTAGCTTTTTGTAACCTCTTACGATCGTGTAATGTACAGAAGTGATATTTATCACTTGGGTGTCAGATCAGATACAAATCTAATCTAGGGGAGAATGTGGATTTTGCTTTTTCCTCTAACCTGAAAGGTATTTTGAAGATCTGTCTATATAACCTCTCTTGTCTCTGTCTTGTATAACAGTATGAAAGAACTACTCAAGCAGTTTATGAAGTAGAAAATTCTATAGATACGTTACTAGACCTACTGCAAATGTACAGAGGGAAAGCTGGGGACAAAATTTCAGAGAAAGGAGGAAGCATTTTCACAAAGACCTGTTGTTTGTTGGCCATCCTTTCAAAGGACTCGAAAAGAGCTTTGGTAAGACTTAAATGTTTTGGGTTTAGTAATTTGATTTAACATGCTTTTCTTGCATGTTTTGGTGGTGTTTGTAATTATTTATTTTTTTCTCCCTCTTTACCATACCTATTATGGCTGTAATATTAATTATGACTAAACTCAGATTTTAAAAAAATGCATTTCCGAGGTGGTGAAAACACTCATTATTTTGTGCTTTGTATGCCGTGGTCACTCAGAGCTATTCAATAAGACATTGAGGTTCTGATCCTGCAATCCTTGCAAGATTATGTTATTGCAATCTCTACTTTCCACAGGGGTTTGATGACTTTCTATCAATCGTTTAGCATTTGATATAGTTTAGTAGCTACATAACTAACTTTTATTCCGTTTATGAAAGTTTACTGTTGCTTTTCGGATAAAGTTAAAATCTTTGTTGTCAGTAACAACTGGCAATATAATTGTCCATGGCTTTGTGTTGACATACCGCATTGTAACAGAGACAGCCTGTTGCTAAAAGAAATTCCCTTTGGTTCATGCCTACTGCTAGAATCCCTAAGAAGGTTATTAGGATAGTCTGGGTTCTATGCTATAAATTCATTAGCTGTTTATCCATCAGATATGAGCACTTAAGTTATACAGTCAGCTGTGATCCTTGCATTGATAGGACAAGAGGAAACGGTTTCAAGTTGCGCCAGGGGAGGTTCAAGTTGGATATTAGGAAGAACTTCACTGTAAGAGTTGTTAGGTGTTGGAACAGGCTCCCCACTGAGGTGGTGGACTCACCATCCCTGGAGGTGTTCAAAAAACATTTAGATGTGGTGCTTCAAGACGTGGTTTAGTGGGTTTAGCGGGCATGGTGGCATCGAGAATATGATTGGCCTTGATGATCTTTGAGGTCTCTTCCAACCATAATAATTCTATGATGATTCTTTCATTGCTATGAAGATGGGTACAAACACTAATTTGTGTCTCTGTACCAATCATTGAAGGCATATGCTAATGACATATGTGACAATTGGTTTTAATGAGAAATTAGTAAAATTTGAATTTTAAGAGCTTGAATTTTCTGAGATCTCAAATCGCATACTGGTTGTTAAGTGTTCTGAAAGTATTAGACCACTGACGACTTGTAGGTGTGCTGGCTTTTAAAATGGTTTCACTGTACTTGTGAGTAGAAGTTCAGCTTAAATGATAAACATTCAGTTTTCATTGAATAAAACAGATTTCTTGATTTGTTAAATTACTTTCAAACTCATAGTATTAACTATGTACTGTTTTTACCTTTTCTCAGGAAATTCGAAGCATACCAAGAGCTGTTGCTTGCATTCAAAGCCTATATAAACTTACAGCTCGTAAACACAAAATGGATGCAGAGAGAACACTTGTGAAGCAGAAAACAGACACTTTAAGTGGAACTTCCTTTGTTCCAGTAACTCCTCTAAGAACAAAAACAGTTTCAAGGTAAGAGCTTAAAAATCAGTCTGCTAGTTTTGCTATGGCAATATAATATTTTAATGACAAGCCACTAATATCTTCACAGAATTAAACCAGACTGGGTTTTGAGGAAAGATAACATGCAAGAAATTGTGGATCCTCTGCAAGCAATTCTGATGGTGATGGATACACTTGGTATTGCCTGCTACTGAAATGTAAATGATGTATATAAAAATGTATTTGTACAGCATGTATGTAGTAGACAGCTAAATGATTTTGAAAGAAAGCAAATTAAGTGTCACGCTACCCTTGAAAATGTTTTTTCAAATTGCAGTTAACATTTCTGTAACTTTTTTGTATTGTATACAGCTTTTGAAATCCTATTTTGTACTTCTACCAAAAGCAATTGTACAATAAAATCATAAGATCTGGAAATTTCACTAGTGCAGTAATGTATTGTTATTACATAATTGTACATCTTACAAATAGCATGGTATTCCTCACTGATAAAATATTGTAGAATTCTATTAAAAACAGTTGTTTGTGTGGGACAGTTATGTTGGCTTGTATGATCTGGAGAGGTTATAGGTAGGAAAGGAGGCATAGGCTGTGAATTTCAAAACTGGCTACTGTTTTGGGGGAGCTTGAGTTTACTTTCTGGTAAGGTTTTGAAGAATCATATGTGACTAAAAAGAAAAAAAAATTATAAATTTTTTTTTAAAACAGTACAAGATTGTGATGGAACAATGCAATGTTCTAAAGTTCAATTTAGAAATTTGGACCTGATATTTTAAGGGGGGTGATTTGTGAGTGCTTTCTTTCTATCGAGTGAGCAGTACATACAAGCATGCATCTCATCTAGCTGAATAGATGATGTTCATCACAGCATCACCCTTAAATTCTGTTCTCTTGTGCCTTGGAATTGTATTTTCTTAGAGCAAGTCCAAGAAAATGAAAACTGTAAAATTATACCTTCCCACTCCCAAATTTAAAGATTATGCCTCCCGAGGGTGGAACATAATGCTGAACCAACTGGTAGCCATTAGTCAGTTACGTGATAATGCATTGTAAATAAGGTTCTATTTGGGGGTTTTTTTGTTGTTTAAAAAAAAGTCTCAAAAGGGGCTAGCTATATACAACAAAACCCAATGGACAGATAATAGTAGTGGCTATGCTTAATGTGAGAGACTCCAGAATGAATAGTATATAGAATGCAACTGACTAGTTATATGGGAAAAGGCTGGAGGAAGGGGAAATTTTCTATTTCCTCTTATTTCAGCCAAGGTAAATAATCTGATAACAGAATGCACTTTAAACTTGGAACTTGGGAGGTTCTGAGGGGAAGATTGTTCAATTAGTTTAAATTGTTCCATAAACTTGTTGTCTGATTTCACTGTAAAATGATAAATTCTCTGTTCTACTGATGTAAAATGTGCCAAATGGAAATAGAATTCTGCACATCTAATATTAGGGTATTTAGAGAATTAAAATAAGTAAAAATAGTGGTTTCAGTGAAATAACTTGTTGCAAAATATCATGGACCCTAAGGCATTTGTAAATACTTTTGAAAATCCAGTTAATTATTTACAGAAGTAATATTTAGGGAGTTTTCACAGGTGGTGGAAACTGTTGATGGCGACAGTAATGAAGATGAGATTTAAAAGCTGTTTTTTCTTCCTAGTTATGATGTATTCAGGCAAACTCTTTGCAGAAGGTAAATACACTGAATTTTATTGTTTATAAATGTATATTGAATCTAGAACATGCAGTCTAGGTAACTTAAGTGTAATATCTTTCATGTTTTTACCAAGAGTAAATACTGCTTTTTAAATATAATTTTGTTGTGAGATGGCTGAGGATCATGATTCAACTGTTGCTGTAGCTCAGGGCTACAGATTCATCTCTAAGCTTCAAAGCTATAATATTGAAAGTTCAGACTTTTTTTTCAGTAAATGTTTCTTTTGAAATGTGTTTGAGCACTTAGTACAAAATTCAAATTTTTATATTAAAACATTTTATATATTGAAGTGTCTTGGTGATTTAAGTGTTTTGACTTTACCGCAAAGAAAAAGAGTGGAAGTTAAATGGAACCTGCAGAAGCTAACCTGGGGCGGTCCTGCATTTCCTATCCCTGTTTTCAACGTTGCTTAAAATTCCTGGGTTTATATAGTTTGCATACCACTTGAACTGCAAGTTCACAAAGGGGTGGACTGTATATGAGGGTACACCTCCATTAATTGAAAAGGTGCCCCTTTCTTTGCCTTTCATTTTGTATCTGCTAATGTATATTTCACTCCAGCATATTTGTTGCAACTACCTCTGTCTTCACTAGAGTTTTGTCTTTATGTAAAGCAGTTGGAATTACACAGATACACTTTGGAGAGTGTAAAGGAAAAAAAAAAAAGAGTAGGTAGCAACCACTTCTGTCTTTTGATTACCTAAAAATCTTAATTACCTTCAAGTTTGTTGTTGGGTTTTTTTTTTTTTATTTAGATGTGATACAGTGGCTGTATGAGGAAGGGAATTATGAACAAAAGTTATCCTGGCACTTTCTATTTAGTAAAAATACTAAATTTGCGGAAAATTATAGTGAATTCTAGTGACATTGAATGAAGGAGCAGAAGTTTGTTATTTTGGTTCTAATGTCTGTAGGGTGAATGCAGCAGTACCAACTTGTGGGAAAATTCTGCCCGATTATAATGAGATTTGTAGGTGGTGATTCGGTTTTTAAAACTTGATTCTTCAGGTTAGATTGCCTTATAATGCCATGGAGAGAATTTTTGAGACCCAAAGGTCAATTTTATAAAAAATCCAAACGTAAGTATTGCTTTTAGTTTGGTTTTGATTTTTTGGTTGGTTGGTTTTGTTTTGTTTTTTGTTTTGTTTTGTTTTTTAAATAACTTAGTGTCATATTCTGACATGTTTATTCTTAAATTCCCTTTCTTCAGCAAGTTTAACTCCTATACTGCCTCCTGGCTGCTTGCCATACTATTCTGATAACATTTGCTGAATTGAGGAGCTATGACATAGCTGATCTTGACACTTACCCCTGGATTTTAAAGCAGGTATCAGCATGTTTATGCAGCAAAGAGTGCTCATGCTTACAGCTTCTGGGCTAAAGAAAGAGTTAAATAAATGTGTCCTGCATCAGTTTTGCCCAGGTCACGTCAGGAAGTTTCATTCTACAGCTGATATTCCTGTGAACCTAAAGAACAAAAGCTGATTACAATTGTAATATATCTTAATTTCAGTCTCTCAAGACCCTTCCTGCTTGTAAGTATTCGGAATTTCATTCACCTTGTTTGAAAGCCTGAATCAATCCAACTGATATTAAAGCAATTAATGCATAAAAAAGTTCATATCTGGACTGAGATTTTTCATGAGAAATGTATTTATCTTTTTGCAGATAAACCTTGTGATTTGCCACATATAGAAAATGGAAAGATTGCCCAGTACTATTATAATTTCAAAAGTTACTATTTCCCTATGCGTAAGGAAAAAAAACTTTCCTACTCTTGTGTGGTTGGTTATACAACTGAAACTGGGACTCAAGATGGAAGAATAACTTGTACAGCAAAAGGATGGTCTCCGCTGCCACAATGCTACAGTGAGTTAGCTTTATTAATCTCATCATTGCTTCTAGCAGGAAACTTCTTTAGCTGGGTTTCCTGAAACATACAGTAGCAGAAGCTGCATAACAGGAGGGTTAAAATTTGTAAGTTAAGACAACAAGGTGAAATCAATCCTTTATGTATACAAGCTACGTAAGTTTATGTATGGAATATTTTTACAATAATAGGTGCTTTAAGGGATTTTACCATATATGTTTTTATAAGAACACCAAGGAAGTTGCCCAGTTTCCTTATTTTGGGAAAACTAATAGATAGTTTACCCTCAGATGTATATCTTTTAGAACTTTCCTAGCTCTAGATTGCTTGCTTGTCATGTTCCACGTTATTACCATTGGTTTGATATATTGTTTCATGATTGTGGTAGAGTTTCTTCCATAGGTCAGGAAAACAAGATTAGATCAGGATAGCTAAAAACCACCTTCTGTTTCTCACCAGAGAACATTAATTCTTTCTAACCAAAATCTCTCCTTTCACTTAGAAAAATGTAACAAGCCTCTTGTGGAAAATGGCTTTTTTTACAGTACAGAAATCTATTTCAAAATACATGAGAAACTTCAATACAAATGTAATACAGGCTACTACACTCCAAGCGGTGGTACTGAAGATACGGTACAGTGTCAGCCAGAAGGATGGTCCTACCAGCCAAGCTGTACTAAAAAATTTGGTAGGATTCTGTATTTTTCTTCTTCATAATCTGTCATATATGTATATAATTCTACTGTCCTTGCTGTACCTGTAGGGCCAAACTGCCTATGTCAGGTTATCATTTGAGTACTCTTGGAGTAGGTTCTCAGCTGTATCTCATGGGAAGAAGTTGTCAGATTGTATATGCTGCTAGTTTTGTGAATTTATATAGATGAAATTGTATATAGAAGGAATCAGTAAAGATGAAATTGCATTGTTTCAAATAAATCCATTGCCATCCAAACTTTCTTCCTAAATGACAACTGGAAAACTTGTGTAAACTACTGCATTTTTAATCATTCATTATTTGTAAAAAATTTGCCTTGGATATGACTACATTTAAGGTGTATCTAAGGAAAAATTTAGATGAATAACTTGAAATGAGAAGAGTAATTAATATCATGCACATGCTTTATTTATTTAAGAGTCATGTCGAGTACCCAGTTTACATCATGGCAGCTACTTCACGGCCCGACAAGAGCTTCGACTGAATGAAACACTGGTATACAAATGTGATGAGGGATATCATACTGCAGGAGGAAACACTACAGAAGAAGCAGTGTGTTTAACACATGGGTGGTCCCTTACTCCAAACTGCACTAGTATGTAATGGACTGGAAAATAAATCTGTTTGAAATGTGATTTATTCTACAAATACACAAAAATTTGCAAAATCTTTTATTTTATAAACTGGGGGGCGGGGAGGGAGGGAGGGAAGCCTGCCTTAACTAATTTTCACTGCTGTGTATTTTCTTCCTAGAAATAACTTGCTCCTCTTTGAGTGCAATAGCACATGGAGGTTTCTATCCTGTGAAGAATATCTATGAAGAGGGAGATGTAGTTCACTTTTTCTGTGAGGAAAATTATTCTGTCAGTGAATTTGACCTAATTCAATGTTATTATTTCGGATGGCATCCAGACCCTCCAGTGTGTGAAGGTACCTTATTTTTATAGTTTTAATATGTCAAATTCTTAGTGAAAGCCTAGCACCTTCTTTCATTAAATGCTTTATAAATACAAAATAAAAATATGCTTTGTGTACTAGCTCACAGCCTAAATAGAAATCAAGTGTTAGTTGAAGGGTATGGAGCCCAGGTAGCAGGGAGGAATGCAATGATAATTGGAATTAGTGTTCAGTGAATTCTAACAATAGAGCAGACACTGTCTCTGCTGTTGTTTCTCTGTACATTGTATCCTCGAGAAGCAGGAATCAACAATTACAGGAAAGTTGTTCAGGCCCTGAAGTTCAAGTTTAAACCATGTTCAGATTACATGAAGGTTTAATCAAACACATTTAATCCTGCCTTGTAAGGTGGGAACATGCCTCATGAGAGGCATTGAAAATAATTTGTAACAAGTTCCTCCTGAGCTTGGGGATTGTGGTACTTTTCAGAGTTTTATAGCCTCACCAAACTGGACATGTTTTCAACAGAATTAAGTAGAAAGATTATCCTGAGGACAGAAACACATCTTTAGCAATTACTATCACTTCCTTAGTCATTGGGGGATAATAGACATTCCCAGAAAAGAAACTTTCAAAAGAACAAAAGGTCTAGTGAACCAGATGAGATATAGTATCAGCAGAAAACAGTACAAATTAGCATTTAGGCTAGCCGAGAACTTATATTGTTTAACATACCCTTATAGTTGTGGGTCATTAATCTTATATGGATATTGTCCCCTTTATGAGAATTACTTCTGAGCTTTAGGAGATCTCGCTGCCTCACAAATTCTCTGCTTTATATACAAGGAATACCAGGTGTTCACGATAGAGGATGGGACAATCAATCATTTGTTTAAGCTAAATCTATGGTATTCTTTTTCCAATATATTTCTGCAGGAATTTTTCCCGTGAAGTATGTTTTCTGAAACAAATTTAATAATCCTTGTGTGAGGGGTGATTGACGTTAAAAAAAAATTACATTTAGCCTTTAAAAAATATAGATGTCTTAAGCACAGTTTTCAGTAAAATTAATGTTTTATAATTCCTTTATAACTTATCTTGTAGAAGATTGTGATTGAGTACAAAGATGAAATTCATCTTCCTTTCCTAGAAGATACCGTAGCATTTAAAATGCACTAGACTGTCTCAATTAAATGACATGTATTAGGACTCTAGCCCTATATTTATTCTGATGACACAGCAGGAAATTTTGTTGAATGAGTGCAGAGGAGCAGGGTGCTCAGGAGAATGAAAACAAAGTCTAAATCTAGTTTTGAGGATACAGTAATCACAAACTTAATTTGGGGATAGGAAATGGGCTATGATTGTTACTGCTTCTGTAGCATTAGAATTAATACATAAGCTATTGTAAATATTGTATCAATGGAGGGTAAGAGAAATCTCTCTTTCCTGAACTCCTTTAAAGAACGTTTTATTAAGTCTATTTGGAAAAATTACAAATTTGTTTATAGCAGTGTATATATAGTTTATAGCATAATACCTCTATTTTATATTGGTTGAATGTAAAATCACTTTTTTTTATTCTGGTCTCCTATTTTAAGAAAATGGGAGTAAGCAATTACTCTGAATCAACCAAAAATGTCTTTTGAGTGATAGGCTTGCTGTGTAGTAAAATTAATTGTGTACATGGTTTTGATAAATGAGAAAACAATATGCATTTTTTATTTTCAGATGTAAAAAATAAATGCCCTCCACCACCACTTCCTCCTCATGCCCATGTCATCACAGTTAGAAGAACACATCGTAATGGAGACAAAGTTCGTATTCAGTGCCAAAGTACATTTGAAATAAGAGGATCTGAGGAAATCCAGTGTGAAAAAGGAAAATGGACATCACCCCCTATGTGTATTGGTGAGTACTTTTGTGAAGACTGACAACTGAACAGAAATGGTTCCTCCAACTATGCCTTAATTTTCTGGAGAACCTCAGTTTCCATATCTGCAAAACTGTTTATATCTTGCTCTGTTAAAATGCTCGAGAGGTAAAGTGCTGCATAATTTGCAGATGAACTGTTGCTCACAATTAAGGAGAAAGGGTGAGCTAGGTGATTTCAACTGACATAGGTGTTGTGTAGTTCTCTCCTGGAATATTGATTTTATTACATCTTAGAACACATTAGTGTCTGTCTGTTTTGATATTTGAAAAGGAGATATCTCTGAGAAAACTAGTTCTAAGTTTCTGCTATGGTTATAGGAACTACAGATAAATGGGAGTCTGAGGCACCACCACTCGAGGCAGATGCAGCAATAAGGGCAAGCAAAACATATTGCAATGAAGGTATGAGTAGGTGAACATTGCTTTTCTATTTAAAAGGGACTTCAGTACTCTATAATGCTATTATGGGCATTTTATGACTGCTCTTACTACTCTCTTGCTGTTGTACAGTTCCTTAATCTTGAAAACGTTTGCATGTGCTACAGATGTCAGTGCAGCAGTCTGAATAAATGAAAGGCCATTGTTGCTTGTTTCTAGTGATTATGAACTACACCTATAAGCCTGTTCTGTATTTGTAATTTTATTTCATACATTAGCATTTACCTTCAATCATTTTGTACCCTTTCTGTTAATGTTGTCTGAATATGCAAAATCATGAGTATTTTGCTGCTCCTTGGATTAATAGTTCCAGTGAGGTTTCTTTTGTTTCTTTCAAACCACACATGGGCTAAATGTTTCGAGCAACAAGTAAAGACTGTCTCATCACAGAAAAAGAACTAACCTATATTGAGTGTAAACCAGCAAGAGTCAAGAGCAGACATAGATGAGGAGTGTAGGGGGAAATAGAATGCCTGTCTGCAATTCAGTAAGGCAAGTGTAGAGTTTCTGAAAACAAAATTGGAAAAGAAATTATATTGGTTTATGTTTTATTTGTACGTAAATTTTTTGCTCAGTCTATTATTAGTCTGATACTTTCACCAGTGTTAACATTGTTTTAAAGATCTGATTACCTATCTCCCCGCCTTGCATTAGAAATGCAGCAAGACTGTACCTCTCCACCTGTGATTAAAAATGGTGATGTTCTTGGTCCACTATTGACAAGTTACAAAAACGGTTCCTCAGTAGAATATGGTTGTCAGCGTTACCATTTTTTGGATGGACCTAGTACCGTTTACTGCAAACAAGGAAACTGGACAGAACAACCAACTTGCTTAAGTAAGTCTTGTAAGAAAAAAGGTTTGTACATAATACAGAAAGGTAAAACTGGAAAAAAACTCTAGATAATCCTTTCATGGCCACCTTTTCTCTTTCATTTGAGTTAATAAAGATTCTAGAAACATGAGGATGAACGAAAAATCAAATATACCTAAGCCACTCTTGTTAGGTGTCCTCTAGGTTGTTCTTACAATGAAATAGATTCCTCTGTTTTCCTGAGTGATCTATTGTAGAACACAGCTATCCCTGTCACCTAGGAGGATTCTCTAATTTCATTCTCCCATATTCTCCATTCAGTGAATTTCTTCCTGTCTTTCAATAGATGCTCAGAAGGAACAACTGCAGCCATTGCCTAAATGGCTTTTAGATGTGACTAGCAAGAAATGCAGTGACTTCTTGGACTTTAATTTTTAAACGTTCAGCTTTTGTTTTTATTTTGTGTCTTTATCATCTCTCTGGATTTTCTAGTTTTTATGTGTTGCTCATATATGCTGTTCAAAACAATGAATAGAACTCCCATTAGGAATTTGCCAATACTAGCAGGTATACTACTACTGATCTACAAGAGTTGTTTCTTTATCTTTCCTTCCTTCCTGTGATGAAATAATTCTGGTTTACTAGCATCCTTTGTTAAATTGACTCATTTTGAGTTTGTAATCTACTGTGAAAATGCAAGTAAATAACCAGTTCAGTTTTAATTACTTATTTCTAAATGAATAAAATGTACCTGATCTGGATTGAAAGGTCCAGATCAGCATTCTTGGATCTGAATACTCAAATTTAACAAATCCTGTGAAATAGTGAAAACTCATTTCCTATGAGTGTTATTTGTCTCCTAAGCAGCCAAATAACCACATCACCTTTTCCATGTTTTCTGAGATTTCTTTTCAGCTCTCGCTTAATCAGACCAGAAAGAGCACGTACTGTAATTAGTTTCAGGAAAATATCCATACCAATTTGTTGTTACAGTACTGTCATCAGAATGCATAATAACTGATTTCTCCTTGCCTTTCCCTCAGTAAAGCATTAATAAGGGCCTCTGTCAGGCAATGATTCTCATGAAACTTGTAGAAATTTATTTTTATAACTATCCCTCTGTCACGCTTTACTGAAGTTGAACAGTGGTTTCAAAAGTTAATGAAGTTAACTGTCTAATGGAAAGCTAGGCTACCTGATGTGATCCTGGCACTAAATTTTAAGAAACCTGTCAGAAAGAATCCAAACAATATTAGCCTTGAATAACCTGAAAAATCCCAAAGAAGAACATAGAGATATTCCAAAAAGCTTTTGGAAGTTTTAAGTTCTTTTAACAGTGACAAAACAAAGAGGAAAAAAAAAAAGAAAAAGGAATTGTCAAAGCACTTCCTTACGTTTACTGTATATTAACTACTACTATCCTTGAAGGGCTTACCAAACCTGTCAGCGAAGTCTGACAGCTTAATTTTGATGAATGACTCTATTTTCATTATAAAAAGCCCTTTCAAGTTACAGTAAAGTAGTTCTTTTCTTCTTCAATGATAAACCCAGGCTGCCATATGTTTACGAATACTTGTAGAAACCAGAATTTGTCAGAAGTGTGTGTTTTCTGTGATTCACTGTTCCCAGTTCAGGGGTTTTTTGTATGTTATTTCTGTTACTTCAGCCCATTTCTTTACATTTGCATTAATTTTTTTTATGCATCTGTAGGGTTTTGGGTTTTTTTGCAAGATTTAATGACATTTGATTTAGATTTCTCTCTCGACTCCTACAAATTGGAGCTAAGACATCACTTAAGGTTGCTTTTTATTGAAGTACACTTTTATTTCCTAGAACCATGCATTCTTAATGTAACTGATATGAACACCAACAACATAGAGTTGAAATGGAGACAGGAAGAGTTAATTTTCCTACATGGTGATCTCATAGAGTTTGAATGTAAACAGGGATACAACTTTCTTGAGACTACTCTTCCATCTCCTGGGAGGACACAGTGTAACCACAGCAGACTGAAATATCCGAAATGCATTATGCAAGGTAAACCAATACTTTTTTGTTGCCTTTTTAATTAATCAATCTCAGACCTATTTAAAAACAATTTACTTTGGCAACATGGGCCTAGAATCTGTTGCAAATAGTAGATGTTTAGGATTCAACAATACAGATATGCACAGATATTGTTCCACAAGACAGCTATATTTTTAACTATATCTAAGCATGGAAAAACAATATACCTTCCTTTGATGGGGAAAGCTGTAGAAAGGAGGGAGGAGCTCTTTTCCAAGCCCAGGGATCTCAAAGCTCTGTAGAAAGGCAGCTGTAAACAAATGCACACAAGGGACTTCTTATGGTTAGAATTAAGCAGGAGATTGCATTCTGATCTGAGACATAAGAAAACAGTAAAAAATACACTATCTGAGAGTTGATAGATATCTAGTGTTGACAGGCATTTAAAGCTGATGATTTGTTAGTTCCTTAAGCTGAATGTTTCTCAAATGTTTTTAATATTATTCCAGCTGTTAAAGAAAAATGTGACTCTCCACCTTCTATTGAGAATGGAGCTCTTACTCTCCCACCCCTGACCCAGTATGATAGTGGTTCTTCAGTTCAGTATAACTGCTCTGACTATCATTTTTTGCAAGGATCTGAGAGAATTTACTGTTCTGAAGGACAGTGGACTTCACCTCCAGTTTGTATAGGTAGGTGTGATAAGATAAGTAAGCACTTATTTCTCTCTGTAATTCGTAGAATCGTAGAATAGTTTGGAAGGGACCTTTAAAGGTCATCTAGTCCAACCCCCTTGCAATAAGCAGTAACATCTTCAAGTCAATCAGGTTTCTCAGAGCCCTGTCCAACCTGACCTTGGATGTTTCCAGGGATGGGGCATCTATCACCTCGCTTGGCAACCTGTCCCAGTATTTCACCCCCTTTATTGTAAAAAAAAAAAAATCTTCCTTATTGTCTAGTTGGAATCTACCCTCTTTTAGTTTAGAACCTTTACCTCTTGTCCTATTGCAACAGGCCCTACTAAAAAGTCTGTCCCTGTCTTTCTTATGGGGCCTCCTTTAAGTACTGAAAGGCTGCAATAAGCTCTCTCCAGAGCATTCTCTTCTCCAGGCTGAACAACCTCAACTCTTTCTAAATTCAGATACATAGAATTTATAAATTAAGTACTTCCAACTAGAACTTAAAGATCTAAATTTCATTTTTTTCAGTTAGAGATGAAAGTTTTAATAGAAGCAAGTGTAAGCTTGTCTGGCCTTTTTTTCTCTTAAATATGACATGCTTGCAGTATCCAAAAATACGGTAATTTAATGTATAATATATTAAGAGAATGGGAAATAATCTACAGTTTTAGTGTAGACTGGTCAAAATGGTGCTATTTCAAAAATAATTGATTTATTAACACTGGTTAAGTCTCTCTTCTTTAGAGCCATGTACTTTGTCAAAAAATGAAATGGACAAAAATAATGTGCTGCTGCAAGGGTTCTATGAAAATCAAGTTTACTTTTACCATGGGGATTATGTTGGATTTTACTGTAAACAAAATCATTTTGGAGCAGAATCTGGTACAACTTTATTTCAAGTGCAGTGTAAGAGAGGACAGCTGATGTATCCAAGGTGTGTTGAAAGAGGAAAATAAGTATGGACTTCAGGAAAGCCTATAGGAAAGGTATGTACATGTCCTTTATCTAGCATTAACAGCTGGTTTACGATGGCCTCATATTTTCAAATCACTACAGTTAGCTCTGAGAAATGACTGTTCAGTGGCATTGTTGGGTCTGAGCTGAAGGGAGAGGGAAATGAAAGTGCTTTGTGGTGTGAGGACTGGGAATTTAGGACGAAGGAGTTTTGTAAGGCTTACAGTGATAAACTTGAGGATGTTTCACAGTCTGGAGGACTTGAGCAAAGTGCCACAACAGGAAGATGCTGAGCAAGTAGTGTCCTTTGTGAGGACATTGGTGATTGTGACAGCATGAGTGCTTCTGTGACTACAGAATATAGCTAAACTGAGATTTAATTTCATGCCCTTCAAGTGGATGTTAAACTCTAATTTTACAGTGAGAAAGGAGAGGCTTATTATTTTGTACATCTTAACAGCATCCATGTCTCCTTTCACAGGTAAGAAGCCTCTAAAGGACAAAGCCTGGGGGACAAGAAAAAACAAACAAGTATTAAGAAAATAAAATTCTACTGAGTAGTTAATTACTATCTTTTTAAAAAAAGTCAAGTAAGCATCTTTGTTTTACTAATTGAGATCATTTAAATTATTAAAATATCTAGTCCAAATACTTTGTATGATTTCCTATGACACTTAAATATTGTACTTTTGGGTGTCTGCTGGTGAACATGTTGAGTGACTGAAGATATGAATAAAATTCAGGAATACAGACAATGTTTGCCTTGCATCCATTTTAGTATGTTTAAATAAAAAAGTCGCTGTAAGGGTTTCTTCTGTATTTTATGTCTAAATTCCATCTTTCTGTGATATCATTGTGTGTGTGCTATTCTGTATGGTTTTTCCAAGGCTTTTAAGAGTGCTGTGTGAATGAATACAACAAAAAAGAAATTAAAGCATTCAAGAAATAGACAAATTCTGCTTATTTAATCAAAACCCAGATGACCATTTGGTGGGAAAAAGAGGTTCATAAAAATAGCATTTTACATGCTATTTACAATACTGTTCCAAAATACTTTCAAAAGATTAAAAATTCATTGCTTTGTAAAATTATATTTAAAAATGAAGACAAATAACAGTGAGATTTAGCAGTTTAACGTAATGAACTTTGGATGTGTGACACGTAGATCTGAACTAGATGTTCACTATAGATTTTATTTCTAGGTCATGTTATGAACAACAATGGTGATATGAATTAGTGAGTCTTACTCAGTTAAGAAATAATGTAGGAACTTGCTTAAACAAAATGATTGTCGATAAGTTTTTAACCAGTAAATTGGTATATTGAGCATTGTTACCTTAATAGCTGCCATCTAGGTTTGCTATGCATCCAGAAACTATTTGTGTTGAGGCCCAAATATATAGAAATTAATCTCTGAGTTTTTGCATCCTAATCATTCCTGTGTCTATGGAAGATGGAAGAAAAAACTGTTTCCCTTCAATGTGAAGGGTGTTTACATGATGGGCTAGATCTGTAAGCAAAATCTTGCAAGGCAACTAGTACGTCCATGACCATATCAATACCACCACACAAGGTCAACATTACCTAGGTATCAGTATCAGAAAAAACAAATTTGAATACAGATGTAACCAAACTGGGACAAATGGGGGAAAAGTAATTTGGGGCAGGTTGTTTATTTGGAAGGAGACCCGGGTGGAGAAAGGGAAGTACAAACATGGTGAAAAGAGGATCAATAAACAAGAAAAAGGGTAATAAGGGGTATGCGCATGATATAATTGAGACTCTCCAGGGATACCAGTCAAGCAGCTCTTGTGCAGATCTTAGCTTGGGTCAGGCCAAAACCCCAAATCCATAGTCTTGTCCATACCACAGAGATCAAACTGGTTTCCGTGATCTGGAAGACCTGTTTGGGGCAGGGAGGGAGCTACTACTTTAACTAGCAGGGAGAAACACCTCAGACGAATGGTTGGAGCATCCACGTGTCGCTGTGTTGGTGACTGTTCCAGACTTGATGGCATCAGCATCTTCTCAGTTGCTTCCTAACCCCAGCCTGTATTAGTGTATTTAATTCTCTTGGGTTTGGTTGGGTTTTTTTGGTGTGGGGTTTTTTTTTGTTTGTTTTGTTTTCCGCAGCATGTTCAGGACAGCATCCAGGTATTTTCTGTGGTAAAGGGAAAGTGGATTTCTTTCATTTTTTCCCTTTTCAATTTTTTGCATTCATTATTTGTAAACGAACTTGTTGCTTGCAATTTGAAATCTCAGGCTCTGTTATTTCTGTTAATTAGCACAGCAGGGTTAAGTAAAAGAAAAGGAGAGCTACAGCTTGGGTTTCAAAATCTGAAAAAGCTCAGAAATATCTGTGTGAAATCTTGAGAAAGAAAGATTTACAATATGAACATTGCAAAAGAAACCGAACACAAAATTTTTACAAAAGTTAATGAAGACTCAGGAAGTGATCAACTTGCTTTTTGGAAGGTAAGGAAGCTTTGTTATTGACTCCTTTCCACTACCTTAATTTTCCCAGAATATATTCATGCAAATCTGACTAGGCAGTGTGGGAAGAGATGGATCGGCTACACATGCTGCTGTGGTCTCAGAGAAGCTGCTGCAGGCACACAACCTAGACATGCTGTTGTCCTAGTGTGGGTGGGATGTTGAAAGCACATCTGTCAAAATGGTGTGCTTAGTCTATGTGGAATATATAGTGCAAGTAAGACTCGGTGACATACAAGCCCAGGAGTGTTTCTGACCTCTGAAGAGTATTTGGAAGCAGAGAAATAATTTTTCTTTGACGTTATTTACTTAGACTTACCAAACCATGGTGCTAGAGTAACTTAAAATAACCATCAACATACCGAAGACATTTAACCCTTTAACAGTCCTGAACTTTTGCTAGTTTCTGCATAGTTAGGCATAGAATTGCAGAATAAGAATCAGGTTGCTCAGGACCCTGCCTGGCTGAGTTCTTAATATCTCCAAGGAGATAAAACTTTTCTGGGCAACCTGTTCCAAAGTCTGTCTACCCTCATGGTGAATCTTTTTTTGTAACTGGATCTTCTTTTGCTGAAGATTTGTGCCTGTTGTCTTTCATCTTGTCACTGTGCATCTCTGAGAAAGAAGATGGCTCCATCTTCTCTGTACTCTCCCATTAGGAAGTCAAAACCAGAAATAAGGTCTCCTCCCAGCCGCCTTTTCTTAAGAAACATTCAGAAAAGAATGTTTGGGTTTTTTTCTGGTTGTGTGAGACATGATAAAAAAAAGTATGTGTTTCTATTGATGCCTTTTCTTGTGTAGCAGAACCTTCCAAGAGCGTGAGAATGGCAATAGATCACCATGAAATGACAGGGCTGAGATAGTCCTGACTTGGGAGTAAGTAGATGATGTGATAACGCTTCTGCACCAAGTTCGGCTTATACAATTTTTTTCAAGTTCAACCTTTTATTTGTTATCATAGAAGCCTAGAACAGTTTGAACTGGAAGGCACCTTTAAAGATCATCTAGTTCAAGCCCCCTGCCATGGGCAGGGACACCTTCCACCAGACCAGGTTGCTCAAAGCCCCGTCCAACCTGGCCTTGAACACTTCCAGGGAGGGGGCATCTGCAGCTTCTCTGGGCAACCTGTTCCAGTACCTCAGCACCCCCACTGTAAAAGATTTCTTCCTTATATCCAGTCTAAATCCACCCTCTTTCAGTTTAAAACCATTGTTTTGTCACAATAGAGAGGCCTTTCCTCTTGAGTAACCACCTTGCATTTGCGTGGTTTTCGCAAACATCAGCCGAAAAGGCATTCAGATTTATTTATAGATTGTAATTTCTGTTTTCCAGTTACGTTCTCACCTCCATTGTACATAAGTGAGGAAACTGACTTTTGTCTGGATGTAAACTCGCAGATCAGGGCAATTCCTGTAACAGTCAAAGTTTTGGGTGTTGTGTGTGCTGATTCAGACTGGCACGTTTTAACCAAGTGACCCTGTTTCCCAATGAAGTTTCAACAACTTATATTGGCTTTAAAATGTTTCATGAGCCCTGTTCCTCAGGGCTCAGTGTTGGGGCCA